GACCTGCAACCCCCTGAGGACGTCGACTGTGACGAAATGCGTCGGGGCGGGCCTATTCCATGTGATACCACGATCAGGAAGTACATGCTTGGCAGACGCTGGATTTGGACGCAGGCGCAGGACAGGCAACCCCCTGAGGACGTCGACTGTGACGAAACGCGTTGGGGCGGACCTATTCCATGTGATACCACGATCAGGAAGTACATGCTTGGCAGACGCTGGATTTGGTGCTGTGTTTGACTGGCCGGTTTTTGCTGTTTTAAACTGTGAGTTTTCTATGTTTTTTTAAATAAACGTGTATACTTGCCACACCATGAGGAGTTTTTCTTTTATGATCCCACAAATGCTTGAGTGACGGGATACTGCCGGATAGAATACCTTGAATGTGGACGCATAGAATCATCTACACTGTCTATTTTCCACAAACAGTGGGGTGAGTGCGCACCCCAGAGGGGGATTCGTGGACACTTGCACAGTGGTGTTGAAATATTTCTGTCTGGGCTTCATTTTTTCCTACTTTGGATTTTCCACATTATCATCACAATTGAACTTTATTTTGATTAACTTTATTTTGATAAATTATCACTGACTATTGTATAGGATTTGATTAAGTTGGCTGTTATATAGCTACACAGCGGATTTTATGAGGCACTTGTTTCCTTTTAATAATTAAGGATATTGCTATGTGAAGACACTAAGATCAACTAATATTGTTTGTATTTTTATTTGTTTAAACACAATTTTTTCATATTTATATATCCCTGAAAAAGGGATTACACTTTACCCATTGTAGGGATTTTAGCACGTTAATAGATGTGTAACACATAAAACACAGCCATGACTTCCCTTTAGTAAACAATGGCTCCCACAATGGCCAGTGGTATAGCATTGTGTTGCATCTGAGTTTTAGGTAAACCTTTGAGCATAGAAATATGGCAACTGGAAATACTGACTTGGGGTTTAAAGATGCATGTTTCATTCCAGTATCATTTATGGCTTTCTACCCCTTAGCTACTGTCTAAAAGCCTGCTGTAGTTATAAAGTGCAGGCACCTTGTACCTCTTCAAAAGCATGCAGATATGACAAAATACTGGGAAGGTATGACAGTCTAAGCTCTCGTACTTCCAAGTGTTGAATCTTGCCACTGAGCCCTACTCCCCTTACATTGTTTATGGCCCATCAGTATGATGGGTTGCCTTACTCGTCATTAGGATTACACAGAGGTCAGGAAGGAGCTGGCAATCTGTTCCAGAGACAGTAACTGTAAGCATGTATAATTCTTGTGAATTACTTGTATATGGAATAATAACATGATTTTGTTCTAATTTTGTTTTTGGGTAAGTTGGGCAGAAATTCCTATGCTCCATAGTGTTTTTCTAGTAGCGCTAGATGCATACACAGGCATTCATCCATCTATACTCTGGACGGAACGATTATAAATCAGCCCGTTTGAGCTCTGTCATTAATTGATTGTGTCATGGAACGGGCATCACTAAATTTCACATTCCTTATTTTGACACAGAGCGTCCAGATTGTGTGAATGGAAAAATATCTTTTGTGTTCTATGCAAAAATGAAAAACATGAAGGAGGTATATGTGGCTTCTTCTACTGACAGGAAGGAGGGGGATGTTAAAGGGCAGGTGAGTGGCTTCTTTATTGAAACAAATATTTTCAGATAAGTAATCTCAAATAATCCCAAATAGTTCCATCATGCTTTAACTGCTTTTTGTACTCTTATGTTGTTGGAACTCAGTGTAATGTGACAGTATATCTGTTATGCAAGTATTAGGAATCAATTATGTCTTAATCCTGTTCCCTCAGGTGTCATTTTACCGTGGATCAGTTCCAGAAGTTGTGCCTAAGGAAGCCACTAAACACAGGAAAGGCACAAATTCTGACTGGATGGCCACATTGCCTATCAGATTACCAGTAGGTGAAATTTTGTTAACTGAACACTGGAAGCTGTGTCCAAAAATGTCAGGCAAAGTGTAAAAGACTAGCCACCAGTAATGCATGTGGTGTTTCTACAGCTGACCTTACTCTGCTACTGCACTCGCTGTATGGAGGCAGCCATCTTGGTGCGGGCATGCTATTGCGTCCTTGTGTCAGAGCCTCCAGAAAGCCGAGAAGAGCCACACAGTAGTAACATCACGAAATCTCCCTCAGAATCTCCTTAGACTAGCAGTCATAAGCAGCAGTGCCTAAGATTTCACATCACAGATATACAGCTATGAGGCTGTAGGTTCAGGAGTTCCTAGGAACACTCACATACCCAGAGGTGCACTGTTAATTTTCTGGAGGGATTCAAGACCAAAGGTCTTGATTTTTCACAGTGTTGCTTAAGCACAATTAAATCTTTTAAATGTTCCCTATAACAGGGCTCAAAATTTCCACTTGACGAGTAAAAATAAGGTGAGGCGAGTTAAAAAATTTGGGTCTCCAAGTACCGGTCCGCAGGCCAACTCGAATTTTTTTTGTGCGGGGAGAATTTTATTCTTATATTTGTGCGGGGTGGGGAGTTATAACGTTGAGAAGTGTATTATTGTGCCTTAAGCTGGCCATACACCTTACAACCATTGCACGACTTTCGTTGTGCGTTGGTTGTAAGGTCATTAAAATCTCGTACGATCTGCCCATCTTGGATAGGCAGATCGTACTTGCGATCATTGCAAGCCCTCCCCGCTGAGGGGAAGGCTTCCAATGATTGCAGTGCTGAGCGGGCAGTGTGCGCTTGCGCACACCGGCCCGTGCTGCATTCGTCTTCTGACCACGCCACCAACCCGCCAAAAATCGTACGATTTACGGCAGGTTTTCCAGCGTGCTTGGAAGACGAAAGTCGTACGACCTTACAGTAGAAGCGGCCGCACGCTGCACATACAACTGCCGATTATCGTACGATCGCGGGATCACCCGCAACTATCGTACGATAATCGGCAGGTGTATGGACACCTTTAGTGTATGTGTATATTAGGCCCCATTCACACCTACAGTATATTTCAGGTGTGATTAGAGACTCCAGGAACTTGCGTTTTCCTGCAGCAGGAATCCCTAATCTGCCGTTTACAAGCGGCAACTATCAAAAGATAAGAATTCATAAGATTATTTAAGAGGGTGTGTTTTGGGGCGGAGTTAAGGTCGGGGCAGGGTTAAGGCCGTGACACACACGGTGGTGGTGCGCTGCCTTTGCGAGCAGTGTGTCATGTCATTTTCTCCTGGGCACCTCAGCTGGCGAGAGCTCGCGGAGCCGAGCGTGCCGAGATGAACAATTTCAACTTCAGCCAATCGGCTTGCGCGTATGCGATGGGATGCGACGTCTGGCTGGTTGTTAAGCACGAGCCGATTGGCTGAAGGTGCAGTCAATCATCTGACTGCTTTCAGCTCACACACTGCACGCAAAGCTCCGTGCCGGATAGCTTTGCTTCGCGTGCAGTGTGTCACGGCTTTGCGTGCAGTGTGTCACGGCTTCGCGTGCAGTGTGTCACGGCCTTAAGGGTTAGGTGGGGCAACTGGTGGCTAGTGACTCTTGGTGACTCTTAAGGCCTGGCTAGTAGCTCAGGGCTTGAAATTTTGAGCCCTGCCCTATAACATAGCAAAGCTTCACTTTTTGAGTTCAGGTCCAATTTACCAAACTTGTTAATGATGTATAAACTGTAACACTTTTTTGTATTGTTTTTCTTTTTTTCACAGAAAATAAAAGGTCTTAACCAGGAGGATGAAAGGCAAAGAATTAGCTACTCACTGCGTCCCCTGAATTTAGGCAACGCCGAGGTTGGATACCTCACAGAAACCAACCTGCTCAGTATTGCTACACAGATTGGATCAGACTGGATGAACATTGGTATTAACCTTGGTCTGCCCCATACAGATTTACAACGTATTAAGCATAATAACAGGTAAGTTAGTTCGTCTCTTTAAAAGGCTGGGACTTCAATTTAATGACGCATTTGTTTTTATCTCAACGTTGTAGTGCGTATCTATCAGCAATGAAGGTGGGCGGAGGGGTTTCCTTTGTTTCTTATTTGCCCTCAGTTTCTTGGCGCTTATTGGGGAGAACAGAGATATCCTGTTTTTTTTACTATTACACAGCCATGTAACCGTGCAGCCGGCACCCTGCTCCCTCGTCACAAGTGACAAGGGAGCATGGAGCCAGCTTCCGGACAATCAGGAAGCTGGGTAGCGTGTAATGACTCGCTGCTCGGCTTCCTGATACTGGAAGCTTAAGTATTGGGCTAGGCATTGGAGCATTTGGGTCGAGTATGAGTACTCGCCCAAATACTCGGCATCGACACTGATACTAGTATCGGTATCGGTGCATCCCTACTTTTTACCGGTGTTCCGGAAGGTGTTCCGGTCTTTCATTTGAATGAAGACATTAGTTTACCTCCACTTTGTCCAGCTCCTGATCATCCTAAGCAAATTTCATACATTCATTGTTTGGATGCTGCGCAGGCTGTTAGAGTTTATGTGTCAGCCGCAACTCCCTTTAGGCATTTGGATTCTTTATTTGTTTTACCTGAAGGCCCTAGAAAAGGTTGTTTAGCGTCTAGATCCGCTATTTTTAAGTGGATTTATCAGGTTGTCATTCAAGCTTATAAGTTGCGGGATAAGGTACCTAATTTTCCTGTTTCTAGGGCAGTTAGTATTTCTTGGGAATTTCAGAAACAAGCTTCTGATACTCAAATTGCAAGGCCGCAACTTAGTCTTCTGTTCATACTTTTGCTAAGTTTTATAAAGTTGAGGTTTCTGCCTCTTCTGATGCTAGTTTTGGCATAAAAGTTCATCAGACGGGTGTTTGAGATATTGAGCTCGTTCTTCTAGTTTCTATGGTGCCCGCCCCTCTGTTTTGGACAGCTTTTGAACGTCCCTGAGAATTCTCCAGAGCTGTGTTCCTCAATGGATGATACTGTAAAAAATATCATAACAGATTCCTCCATCAACGCTTACGAGCGTTGACGGAGGAATCTCCCGCTGTCTTCATTGTATTCTGACAGCAGCCGCCGGCCACTGTCAGAATACCCGAACAGAGCCGCCAGCTCATTGGCTGCTGGCTTTGTACGTTCGAATATTTTCCAACCAGCTCATCAGCTGATCGAAGTGCAAATGTTGTCCAGTTCAACAAGGAGCGGCCAAAATTAGCATAGTATATGGCCTGCTTTGGCCTTTTATTGAAGTGCAACTTCCCTGCCCCCAGCCCTCTCACCAGTTTTCTTTCTCGCCCGTCCCTGATCCAATGAGATATCACCCACAAAGCTGAAGTTGCATTTTCTATTTAATCCCATGGAGAGTCTGTATTCTGCCAGAGCATTGAGTAAGAACTTGCTAATGGCTTAAATGGTTAGTGCACAGGGCATGTGCGGGCCCAGCTCAGAAGATTTTGACATGCATCTTTCTGACTTTGCAGGCGATATCTCCCTTAATCAGGTCAGAATAAGACTGGCAAGAAAGGCCAGGGGCAGGGCAACCCCCAGTAATACAATATAATTTGCAAGTTGTGTTGCAATGTAATACAATTTCAATATTTTTCTGAAATAATTGTTTCAATAATTGAATTGTCATCCTGTGAGAGAAAAGAATGACAGAGTATTTTCTCTTCCCCTAGCAATGATTTTAATCAGCTGGTATTAGACATGCTGTTTACGTGGGCACAGAAGAACTCTACAGAACCAGACTGCATAGAGAAGCTTGTGCAGGCCATGCGGACAAGCAAGAGAAATGACATAGCAGATGAAATAGAAGATGTGATTGCTTTAGGAAAAGAAAAGTACAGACAGTCCATCCAAAGAGTAGGCCTTGACCAAGGCAACAGCAGTGAAGACTCAGCCATTGTCATGAGCCAGTCATGAGGACTCAACAGACAGAAGATGATATATAAGAGATGAGTAATTAAATGGTGGTGCGTTTAGCTTCTGTTCCATGAGAGGAAGATAACTGCTTTCAATGATCTACCAGAAGGCTGGGATCTAGCAGTTAAATAAATGGTGTTTGAAAGGCAATCTTTTTATATACAGTAATACATTGGTTTACAAGTAACTTGGTTTGAGAGCGTTTTGCAAGACAAGCATACATTTCTGAAAAATGTTGCCTTGATATACAAGCAATGTCTTGCAATAAGAGCAACATTTTGTAGAAAAGCACCATCCGAATAAGGTTGCAGCAGTGCGAGCGATGAGTCTGTTTAACGACAACACAATGTCACATTGGATAGATTCCTTGTTAAAGTTTCACAAAATGAAAAAGATTCCATTGAGTCAAGAGATAGCAGTGATTCTGTTAGTGATAGTGAAAGTCATCCTACACAATAATCCTCCTCTCTCTTGTCCCCCTCACACCAGCCACGGAGGTACCGGTAATTGGTTTATTTTTATCTATATTTTGTACAGTATTATATTACAGTACTGTATTGTACTCATTTTTATATGAATATTTTTGGGTTGTGGAACGAATCATCTGCATTTCCATTATTTCCTATGGGGAAATTCACTTTGATATACAAGCGCTTTGGATTACAAGCATGCTTCCGGAACGAATTATGCTCTTAAACCAAGGTATTACTGTACTGAATTCACAATTTAGTGTAATGTAACCTATTGAAAGGAATGCTTTGTATCAATCACAAAAGACTTATGTACCCTACCAAGCCAATGTCACTACAGAATGTTGGATTTTTAAAAAAATTATGCAAAGTGCTTAATTTTGCACCTATTATGTATGAAAGTTTTTTAGTGCTGGTCAAAAGATATAGTGTATATAGTATGTAGTATGCATATAAATACCATGTATAAAAAGAGGACATTTTGGTCGCCCTGGACACTTTCAGATAGTAAAGCATAACATGTTTGTCAGAGTGTTATTTTTTTTGTTTGTTTGCACAGACAGCAAAGGAAACTCATCAATCTTGCCACAAAGTAATGAGACTTGCTATGAGATGACAGCTTGATTCATAAATCCCCATCGCATATAATACGGGCTTGCAAATATACAAAAAAAAGTACAGCAAATCTGCCTGATCCACTAACTGAAAGTCCTGGTGTGCAGAACTTTTAGGACCTTCAGCCTGCTTCTACCTCCATTGATGCTGGAGATTTCCTCATAGACTGCTAGTGGAAACAAAACTAAAACACAGACTACTGGTTCTGGAAGTGACTTGGGCCAGTTCCGTAAAGCGGAGAGTTAGGAACAAAGACAAGAGTGTAAATATAGTCTATGCTCCTGCTCGGAATGTAATGCAAATGATTTGTACATATATCTCCTTTATAACTGGAATGACTGTAATGTCCTGTGTTGTAGAAAACTGTAAATATTCTGTAAAAATAATGAAGAAAATATCATTTTGTTCTTAGAGATATCTTATGAATCAACATTGCTACAGAAAACATCTTTATGTGTATGTATGCACTGATACCGGTATTTCGGTATCAACTACGAGTACCGATATTTTTTTTCCGGTACTCGCCACTACAGAATACCAATGCCGGAAGTTCCATTAAGGAAGCCAGGAGGCGTATAATGACTCGCCACCTGGCTTCCTGATTAGCTGGGAAGCCCTGCAGCGTGTAAAAACTCGCCACCCTGCTTCACAATTAGCAGAGAAGCCGTCCCCATGCTTCTCGTCACTAGGTGACGAGATAGCATGGAGCCAGCTTTCTGGCTAATCGGAAAGCTGGGCGCAGCGTCATTACACGGCACCCGGCTTCCTGGTTGGCCAGCTTCCCGACCAATCAAGTGACGAGGGAGCATGGAGCCGGCTTCTCGGCCAATCAGGAAGCTGGGCAGCATGTAATGACTCGCTGCCCGGCTTCCTGACACCGGAAATATCGGGTTAGGCATCGGAGCATTTGGGCGAGTACGAGTACTCGCCCAAATACTCGCCATCAGCACTGATACTAGTGTTGGTATCGGTGCATCCCTAGTACATACAGTATACAGTATGTATAATTGAACTTAAAATAGCTGCTGTTGTTTTTTCTTACATATATTAAGGTCCCCATAAGATATGGTCAAGAATATATTAACAGCTGTAAGGTGACTGCATACACAATATGATATGGCAGATGTATATTTTTGTACATCAACCAGATGTATGTAGGTTGCAAGTATAATTTCCTCTCCATACTAAAGGAGGATAAGGGCAGAGTATGCCTCAAATAATTATCATCCCAGATATGGTTATATTTTGAATAGCTCTTCATTGCTTTATGGACAATAGGCTGTCTAATCTGCAGCTTAAAGGAGAACTATGAGGTGAGTGCTTTTCACTAACCTCATAGTTCTAGCCGACCTGTGACAATGAGACTGTCACAATGATATTGTGACTTAAAAAAGTATAAAGCTGCAGGCAGGTATAAAGTGTAAGAATCAAGTGTCTGCACATACCTGTAACAGCTCTACAGCCAAATGCTGGGACAATCTGTCCAGGCAAAGCTCCCGCAATACGTGATAATTATGGAGCTTGCCCTCCCCCCTTCCATACATTTCTGTAAACCAGTAGAAGTTCATCATAGTGATTTGCCAGTAGGAATGTGGTGGGAGGGAGGAGGCAAACTCCAACAGTACCGGGAAGTGTAGGAGGTTTGTTTTTGTCTTTTCAGAACAGTACAGCATGTGCGCCTAGAGGGGGCGCTGAAAGCTGCTGCAGGTATGTGCAGGCACCTCTAGCTGCCAACACATTTTACTCACTAGTAGCATCTTGTTTTTAAAGTGATACAGTCAATATAAAGTGGCCAAATGCTAAGTTCTGTAGAAATAACCTTACAGCTGTAAATTATTCAGACAGCCAAAAATCTGTGGTACAGAATATCATCTGTCTTATTTAATAAAGGTTCCTGGTCTTGGATGTTACTTCTCAAATTGTATCCAAACCCCAAAATGTAAAATACTGCAGTTTACCAATCTGTGAAGGGAGCAATGGTGATCACCCTAATGCAGGACAACAAAAGCATCTTCATCTAATTAATAGTTTAATATAAGTTAGCTTGAGAGGAGGATACCCTTGTTTGATTTATCTTTTCACAGAACATGGCAAGGATGCTGCATTTCTGGCACGTTCAACAGGCATTTTCTGAACTTGCTGAAAATGTTCTTAGCCTGAAATATGAAAACGAATGAAGCTGCCACTTCTAAGGACCCAAAAAAACGCAATATATTACATTTTTGCTTTTGGGTTTAGAAATCCTTTATGTGCAATAACACAGCAAACAACCAGAACTAACCGCTGAAGTCAGTTCAGTACAAGCTAAAGTCTTCATTTAGGAATAAGAACTGTTTATTAAATGGGGTCTATCATGTTATGTCATCTCTTGCATACAGCTGTCAGTATATTGAATCACTTAGTTGTCTCAGTTTTTTCTCCTGTTTTTCTATAATCATTGCTTCATAACCAGTTGGAATTTTATCAGATTAAAACTGCTGGTATATAGTGAGAGCAAAGTCACCAAGTGTAATCTGATTGCCCACCTAGGAAGGGTTTTGTACATGGACATACTGGGCGTTTATGTAAGAGCCTGGAACAAAAATAGAGAACTATTGTATAGATTTGTAACCTTATTTATGTACTGTATATCTTCAATGCAGAGGAAAATGTCATTGTATGAGCCTTTTAGTAATAGTACGCCTCTGTGTACTTGTAAAATGCACATTGCTAATTGCACAATGTATAATAAAATAAAATGTAATGGTTTTCATACATATATCCCTTGTGTTTGGCTCTAAAAAAATAAGGTCTTGCATAAAATTTTTATGTCCCCTCCTGATCAGAGCAGTACGGAGCTGGTGTCACTGTTGTGACATCCATGACTTTTCAGTTGTTTTCCTCCGTCTTGCAATGGATGAAAAAAACAGAAATTGCCAGTCTATAGGGAATTGGATGTAAGCGGACATGTGTCCATTTACATCAGATTACCAGCGATCCGACACGATCCCATCCAGCAAAACAGATCTCTGATCCATTTGTTTTTCCAGGTCTGGCCAGAGTCAAGGGGGTAACCGGGTGTAAACAGACGCCGGTCCGTTTACACACAGCTGCTGATAGTCTAACATTGGGCATCCAAACGGGTCCGCCTGAAAAACTGGCAGATGGACACCATCGGATCACCGTGGTGAAAGGGGCCTAAGGCTCCACTTGGGATCTGAACACAGCAGCTGAAAAATGCAGTAAGAACTATTTCTTACATTTTGTGAGCTCTGAAAGAAGTCCTTTATTGTCTTCCAATACTGCAAATGAAAGCTTTAGTCTCACCATGTACATGGAGTCAGATTTAGATCTGATTTATGCACAGCAGCCTTCAACCCTTTTACTGCCACCGCTGTATGGCATATGGTGGCTGCAGTGGGGCCCTGTAAGCTATAGCAGCCAGAAGTCTGCTTACATGTGTGAAGTCAACTGCTGGCTTTACACTGGAAGTGCTTTTCAGCCATCCATTCACTTCTAGGGACCTTCAAACCTATCACCCCTCCCGAAATGTATCCCAGGCTCTACTGCCCTTCTTGCAGGCCTAGGACTGGCATGGCGGGTGTGGGCTGCTGGAGGGGAGGGAGACCAGCGAACATTCATTCGCTGATCTCCCCTCTATGAAATAACCCAGAAACAGCAAGAATTTCATCACTTCCGGGTTCAGCGCTGTCAAATCATGGTCGCTGTGGCCAGGGACTGAGCTGATTAAGCATGATCTGTGCTTGATCAGCATCACTGGAGTAGAAAGGTGACATTTGTTGTCTAATAGACCACAAATTTCTTGTTAAAGAGAACCTGTCACGAATGTGTTATAAAATAGGCGGCTTGTTAGATTTTTCCTGTATTTTTATTCCAGTGACAAATGTAAAAGACAAAAACTGCACCCAGCAGGGTAGATGACTGCGACAGTAACCTGAGAGTGTTTCTAACCCGCCCCCTCCACTATCCAAATCTAATAAA